GAGGGAAGCGAAGCCTATCCCAGCAAGCAAAAGGCACAGAAAAACAAACACAGACATGCACACACTCACATCTTGGGCCAATTTCTCAAAAGCCAAATAACCTTCCAGTATGTCTTTGGACTATGAGTGGAAAGTGGAGCATCTGTATGAAACCCACATGGACATGGGGATTAAATACAAACTCCACACAAAGAGCACCATACAGTAGGTCTTGAATTGAAGCTGGGACCATGCGCTGTGAGGCAGCAATGCTTAACAACATGTAACTGTGCAGCCTGAAAGCACTTACCATGGAGGAATAATGTACTGTACACATATAACATAGCTGTAAATGATCATCACCTGAATCTGTTTTAAAAAGGTCCTCTGAAAATCATGACTGGACTCAAACAATTGATGAACCTACATATCTATAAATATTCCTAAACCACAAACAAACACACTCTAAAAGGTACTGCTCTGAATTACACCTGTTATTCAATAATGTTTGCACAGAGATTGGGAGAGTTTATGTGAAATTGTGAAAGTTAACCTCTTTCTTACATACATGCTCTCTAATTGAGTCCTCTACTACCAATGAACTTCAGTGAGGAACATCCCAGGACTGTGATGTCAGTTCCTGTTACCCCTCCCACTTAGAGCCCTCAGTCCAGGTCAGAGCTGTTGTGCTGCTCTTCTCTCTCCAGCATTGAGAAGTCAAGATGATCAGAGTTGTCACTGGGGTCATTGTCATACTTCTGACAGGTAGGGACCCTCTCCAATGGGTTAATAGGGAGAAACACAATTCTAAGTTCAAAAGGAGATGTCTTATATAAGCCTTAATGAAAAATATTCCTTTATCACAAGGAAGCATTTTCTTATTTTGTGTGCACCTAATCTGAATTATAAAAAGTACGTTTCATTGCATTTACTCTTTTCTTTATCTGAAGATCAGTCACACAGTGTCTATCAGTCTCCTCCTGATCTGCTTGAGAAAATTGGTGGATAGTCTGAGTTCCACTGCCTCAATCATGACAAGGTATGTCTATGTCTACATGTACTGGTTAGCAGAAAGGAGGAAAGGGAGGTTTGAAGCTGATTGGACACCTTTACAGGAAAAACCTGTAAGGCCATGGTCAGAAGAGGAATTCAGAGATCAGTTCACAATCTCTGGAGATGCAACACTTAATGGAACCTTAGAGGTCTCGAACATAACAGCAACAGACAGCGCTGTGTATTTTGTGCAGTCAGTCAGCACAGTGCAGAGGATCACCTCTTTCCTTTACAAAAAAACCCTGTGAGCCACAACCTTCAAGATTAAAACAAATGTCCCACATCCAGCCTCCACCTTCACAACAACACAGCTTCATTCTGTCAGTGGATTCCTGTCTACAGACTCTCTAGCTGTTCTTCACTTGTGCATCAGTATTTTGCTGCTCTCCACAGCATTAGTGATTGTGTGGAGACTTTGCACATGGGTAACATCTATGGGTTCTTTCTCATGTAAAATGTACTGACCTCCAGAACATATGGCTGAATATCAGGGCATTTATTTCAAAACGAAAACAAGGGTGATATTTTCATTGAAGATGTGTCTTCTTTTTCAGCAGAACACAATGTCTGGAGATAAACATCTTGACACTGTACACATTGCAA